GCATAACATGGCATAACACCGGAGCCTCGCTGCGGGGAAACTTTGGCGCTGTTCCGAGTTTGTTCTAATCTGTCAAAATGACGGACTGCTTTCAGATTTGTCTGTCATTGTTAAAAAAAATCCGTCATAGACGGAAAATATTCGGTTAACGCGACCTCTGGCCGTTAGCTGTTAGCACTCAGAGCTCACATCTCCTCAAATCTGTTCAGAAACTAGACAAAAGTGAAACAAGTACAAACCACAGACTGTCTGTGTCATGGCGAATACAGTCGCTGGTTTATTTATGTCTGTAGGCCGCTGTTGTGAGTGTGGACGGAGCATATACAACGTTAGCTTAGCCTGGTCGATCCGATCTCCATTCAGAACATTTAAAAAAGTGTTTCGCCTGCCGTCAGGCCAAAAATAAGGTGAAAAAGTTGCCCTGAGCCGGAACTACCCCTAGTGGAAAAGCAAAAAAAAGCTGGCCGGGTTTGGTCCGGCCCGCTTAAACCGTGCTACGTGCTGCAGTGGAAAAGCGCCATTAGTGTCAGCAAAACGGAAGAGCTGATTGTGGACTACAGGAAGCAGCAGTCACTATTCTTATCCTGACCTTCTACAGGTGCACCATAGAGAGCATCCTGACTTTCTACAGGTGCACCATAGAGAGCATCCTGACCTTCTACAGGTGCACCATAGAGAGCATCCTGACTTTCTACAGGTGCACCATAGAGAGCATCCTGACTTTCTACAGGTGCACCATAGAGAGGATCCTGACCTTCTACAGGTGCACCATAGAGAGCATCCTGACCTTCAGGTGCTCCATAGAGAGGATCCTGACCTTCTACAGGTGCTCTATAGAGAGCATCCTGACCTTCTACAGGTGCTCCATAGAGAGCATCCGGACCTTCTACAGGTGCACCATAGAGAGGATCCTGACCTTCTACAGGTGCACCATAGAGAGGATCCTGACCTTCTACAGGTGCACCATAGAGAGGATCCTAACCTTCTACAGGTGCACCATAGAGAGGATCCTGACCTTCTACAGGTGCACCATAGAGAGGATCCTGACCTTCTACAGGTACACCATAGAGAGCATCCTGACCTTCTACAGGTGCACCATAGAGAGCATCCTGACCTTCTACAGGTGCTCCATAGAGAGGATCCTGACCTTCTACAGGTGCACCATAGAGAGGATCCTGACCTTCTACAGGTGCTCCAGAGAGAGGATCCTGACCTTCTACAAGTGCACCAGAGAGTATCCTGACCCTGACCTTTGACAGGTGCACCATAAGTTTGTGATATTTTGCTTCGGTAGTTTTACTCGCATTTGGCAAGTTTTAACAAAACTATGAAATGTTAACTGAGACTCTGAGCAGGCATAACAGTGCCAAAGCTATTATCAACTCAGCTAACTGAAACCCCCAAAAGCAAGATAGCCAAGGAAAAGCTGAAAACAACGGTAATGTTACAGCTTGTAACATAAGCACACATCGACACTTGACATTTTTTTGGCCTTTCAATACTTCTACACAATTTTAGGTAAAGTTGGTGGGCATACAACCTATAAGCACAACAGTTTTGACTTGTTAGCGTTGGCTAGGGACTGTGACTAGACTAGCACCAACTTTGCAAGTCAACTTCCACAACAGCTCCACTATTACACCTAGTAGTAGCTACTATGTTTTTTTCAAACATGAGAAATTCACAATTAATAACGCTCATTATAGGTTGTGAAATTGAATAGCCATATTGTTTTTTTTATGAAATTCTCATTTGATTTAGTTTTCATGAAGAGGATTTTGGGGGCGCACCTCAATGAACATTAGACTAGGATGGAATAGAACAAATAGTAATAAAAAGACACTAAAATCTACTTGAGACTAGGGGTTTCACAACAAGATTTTCAAAATAGTAGTCGACTAGTCGACTAGTTGTTACGTCATAATAAAGACACACAGAGAGGTGTAAAACTGTATTTTGTATTGCAATTCATACAGTTACGTTAAACACTGTAACAAAGGAGCATTTTAATTTGGGTTACATGTTGTTACATGGCTGATTAAATTAAAAACAGTAACTGGACTCACCAAATCTACTGCAAAAACTCTGTTAAGAACATAAATGCAACGTAAATCCTGTGCGCAGCCGACACAAACGAATGCCGTGCTTCCATGAGCGTCAAATCCCGCCGCAGATGGTAATACATTGCAATCAGTTGAAAGCTATTTGCGTCCCTTTATGAAGCTGAAGGAGCCTAGGAGCGTCACAACTGCACGCCACGGACCCTGACCAAACGTCGCTCCTGGACGATTATGGAGTGAGAGTGTGTTGCCTGAAAAGCTTGGCTAAACGGGGGAAGCGGTTTGCGTTTTGTGCCCACCACTTCAGAGGGTTATCCATTGTGGGGATATGGGGTGTCTGCTGGCAGTAATCCCGTAGCTCATCTGTTGACCAGTTTTTTCTTGTTGCTCTCGAAATGAGGTCCAAACAGCTGTTCAAAGGGGGGGTGTTAGTGGAGCACGCTCGTGAACTTTTAGTGCCGGAGCTAAAACGGAAACTGAAGAGCGCATAATTGCGGCGCATTGGCGCATAAGATGAGGACCCCTGAATGTCAGACGTGTTTTGCTGGAGCATTTTGCAGCACCTCACGATGTCGGCATCCTCATCTCCCACGTTTTGTCTCAATTTTGTTCACGACTAGTTGACTAGGGACTACAGCGCCAACTAGTGGTAGAGGTAGTCGACTAGTCGATTAGTTGGTGAAACCCGTATTTGAGACAAATTATGGTTTTACTGGTTTCTGTAACATACATTATCTATCAAAAAAATAAACAATGTTAATCCACTCCACAGTAGGTTTTCCAGGTTTTAACCAAATATGTTCTGATGGTAAAGCACCCAAATATAAAGATTTCAAACTTAAATGGAATGTCTATCTGAAAATACTTTTGTAAAACATCATGAACCTACATACATACATACAGCACTCTCAATCTCCTTCCATCTAGCTAGGTACTTTGGATTGCACCAAGATATTGCCTTGCCTTGAGCAGCAATATAGTAATCTTTTAAACATGGGAGTGCGATCCTACCTTCGTTTTTTGCCAATTGTAAACTCTGATATTTGAATCTTGGTCTTTGTCCCTGCCAAATGTACCATGAGATATGTTTATTCCACAATTGTTGGTCAAATAGTTCTAGTGGGAGGGACTGGAAGAGATACAACATTCTCGGCAAAATAACCATTTTGACCGATTCAATGTAAGAACTAAAACTAAGAAAAGTGAATAGCCAGATTGAAATTAACACTAACAATTATTCTGAGCAGGCACAGCGGCACCGGAGACATTATCAACTAAGCTAAATTGCAAACTCCCTCTTGTGTGAATGTTGGGATTATAGCCTTGTACAACATAAAATGCACAACAACCTATACAACACAATACAGGAAAGGGAAACACCAAAAAGCATAATAAGGCCTCTTTAACAACAAATTTGAGGTACTTTTTTATATTGTTTGATCTAATGCTACTTTATCGTTATATTTTGTTAACACAAACCAAATGAAAATGACGAGTCATTTTTCAAGCAACATTATTTCCTTTTAATACTTTTAAACATTTTGATGGTTTAAATGTTTTCAAAATTAAGTGTTTTTACTTCCATATTTATTCTGGTGAATTATTAATGGATTTGGTACTCTTAATTAACAAACAGCTTGGTGGGACTGGTTTCAAAAAGTTAACACACTCTTAAAAACCCAAAAGAGTCAAATACACTCACTCCTTAATCAATCATACTTAAACATGGTTTGATTAAACCAAAAAAATGTGGAACATGTCTAAATGGAAACATGAATAACAAAGGTAGCGTTGGACTGGAAAGTGGCCATAACTCTTCTGCAACAATGGTGTGGCGTTATCAATATTAACAGGTAGCAGCCAATAGCTAGCCAGTGAAGAACATAGACATATGGACACTAACTGCCAACATGCAAGTGCCGCTGAACCGGCTACCGTGTGGACATGTGTCTCTGTGACGAGTTGTTGTGAAGCTAATGAAAAAGATGGTTCTGGCTGTCACCATAACACCCTAAGTGGCGGTCTTAACCCCAAGCTAATAAAAAAAATGGCCAGAAGGTGGTGGAGCTGAGGAGGGCTAGTGACCTGCACCCACCTGTCACTTACACTATACCTATATATGCAAATTGTTATTTGCTGATATATATATATTCTAGAATAATTCTGTAATGCAAAATCCAGAAATATGTAGATATTATCATATCAGTATTATAAATATTAATATAAAGAACCAAGTCACAATAAGGCCTCTTACCCACACACAAATCCCACCTTAATAAAATCACATCAAGCAAGCAGGATCAACCTATGGAAATTGAATATAAATAAAGGTCAAATTCGACATATCAACAAAACCCATAGCAAGAACCCTGAAAAAGTGTTCATAAACATGGTCTTTTATCAAATATGTTGTGCATTTTCTATAGGGAGATACAATAGACCACTACCGCAGATAAATACATCTTCATGAGGCCAATAGAGGCTCAACTCCCTCCAGAGAGCCACATACATTTAGAATATGAGGATTTGATGGGATAATATGGGAACATTGTGTTACTATTATCAACATGTAACACCATAAAAGGCTTTATATTGATACTTCAGTAAAGAACAAGATGCAAGTGGTCCAGCTAAACAACATAAAATGAGTAATTAATTACCATAAGAACACTGTAGGTGCCCATTTATGCACGATAAGGGGTGTTGTACGAGATTAACATATCTATATTGCATGTGATGAAACAGACGCGTAGTTCAGCTACATTTTCGACGTTTCGGATTGTGTGTGTGTGTGTGTGTGTGTGTGTGTGGGTGTGTGTGTGTGTGTGTGTGTGTGTGTGTGTGTGTGTGTGTGTGTGTGTGTGTGTGTGTGCGTGCGTGTGCGTATTACACCGGTGTTAAATGGTGTTGTGTCACTGTGTCTTTTCGTTTGTCTCTTACCTCTGTTTGCTCGGCACCCGATGGAAGCAGCTGGCTCCCCAATAATAATAACAATAAAATCCAACAACTGTATCCTCAACAGCCGCAACAACAAAGCTGATACACGGATCGTCTGTGCAGGAACACCTGCTGCGTCGTTCGCAGTGATCAGAGTGGAAAGATTGTAATCCAGAAATGATGTGAAAATGTCTGTAAACGCCTCCCTTCGCCGCACGCAGTTTCTTTTTTAAGCACGGCTTCAAACTGATATCCTGCATTAATACGAGGTGGAGCAATGCGATGTGGGAATATTTGTGAAGGCGTCGGCTGCCCGTCACCTTCACCCTTAAAATAATCACCACCGGCTTCTCTGTGAATGCAAATGTTTTTCTTCAGGCTGTTTGCAGGCTGCTTCTCCGCCCTATCACACACGGCACCGTGAAGAGGAGCGGCAGTCATCTGCTTACCATGACTCATAGCTCAAACTGTGAGGTGTGTAATTGTTTCAGCATCATTAAAAAGAAGAGAGAAAAACATAATCTCCCTATTTTTCCTGCAACAACAAAAATAAAAAACACATTCAGGTGCGTGTGTCAGTAACTATACAGATACATCAAAAGACTGTCATGGCATTCACATTCATTTAACTTCAGTTAAAGAACGCTCAACAATATAATGTCAGTTTGGATTTATCGTGGCTTTTATTCTTAATTAAAGTGAATTTATTTTTATTTCAGTCAGTCATTTGTGTGAATGCAGGTGTGGGACATTCCAAATGTTCCAAAAGTGAGCACTCCACGAATGGACAACAGTTTGCCAGGGTCAAATAAAACATTGTCAACATATTATTTTGTCCCACATGAAGCAGAATGTTTTAACAGTACAGTAGTTTGAATATATTTGTTCTTTACCTTTATCAGACCTCTCAGGCACCCACAACCAGCGTCTGATCGGGTAAGACTAATTAAAAATGTAATTATACCATGTAGGTTAGAATTTGTGAACATGAAATCAATAAATACCTTTGTGTGCACTTACTTCCTGGGTAAAACTAGGATGGAGCACCAACCCCATTCCAGGAAGAGGTCCAGTCTGCCCCGGGTCAGAACCACTTCTATGGGTAAACGATGTTGACAGTTGCATCGTGACACAGTGGTTTGCTGTGTATCTTTATTTTACATTTGTTTGTTTGTATAGCCTTCAATCACAGTGCGTAACATTGCCAGGAAGCAGAACAATTATACTTTCATACATTTCCAAATGACACCCACAACATCTGACAACTTAGTGAAGACAATACAAAAAACACCCACAGATATTTTTCAAAGATCAGATTATGTTTGTTGCATCCATTTCAAATGTTTACAAGGATTGTGCAGGAGTATGACAAAAGTGCTGTTGTCAGTTTAGAATCCAATGTATTAAAAAAACCAGGAAGAGGATCGACATCCTTTTGTAAATATGACTGTCATGCATATATTATGTATTTGAAAGTAATTATTCAACTGTCTTCTCACTGCAGCAACTACACAACTGTGTATGCACCTATCATTATTGATAGCCAGTCTGAGCCAGAAGACAAAATGGAGCAACGGTATTAATTGTTACTATTACCACTTAATTGTTCTATTCTATACTGTAAATCTTATTATAGCTTCATCATTTAATATTACAATACATCACTTTGTCTTTCCCAGCACAGAACACTTGACTGCGGAGGACATTGTTGCAGAACTCTCTGCAAAAAGAACAAATACATCTTGCAGCAGGTTCAATATGAATAGAGCCAATGTGTGGGATGGAGCAATCCGCGGCTTCAAAGGTGCCTCATTCGACCCCTCTCATGAGATGTCAGTTAAGTTCACTGAGGATGAGGGACACACTGAGGATGGAGGGGACACTGGTGGTCCCAAGCGTGAGTTCCTGACCCTCCTTATGGAATGCCTGAGAATGAAGAAAACATCACGTCAGCAACTGTTTGTGCCCCATGGCGGTGTGACTTTCCCAGCCGCTCACTGTCTCAAAATCTGATTCTAAATGTATAATGTTCTCTATAAAGATATAACTAATACACAATTATGAATGTATAATATAAGCTGTTTTGTGTATTTAATCATGCATTGGTCTACAATTTAATGATGGCTTCTACATATTTCACATAAACAGACAATGAAAAAATGTGTCCTTCAAGCTGAGAACTAGTGTATGCATCTGCCAATTAGTATTCTAAACAGAGCAGTGTGTTGAATCCTTATTTCTTGCATTTGAAACAGATACAATCAAAAAAAGTAAACTTACTGTTGTGTTCAACTTCTGCCAAAAACTGTACATTGTTGCCACAGGAGCCACAGAACACTTGAACTGTCCCCAGATGTTGGCCACAGAAAGGACACAACATGGCGGCCTGAAAAGACACACATTGATGTAGTGAATCCATTTAATCAAGTCAATCAAAAACACATAGTCGAAATAGTGGTTAGCTAAATAAATAGAAAGATACATCATGTTTACCTTTGAATCTGTGTTCTGTCTCTCTCTCCTTGAATGTCTTCTCTATATTTGTTCTTGAACATATCTAATGCACACTACTATCCCAACACACTCTCACTCCATAATCGTCCAGGAGCGACGTTTGGTCAGGGTCCGTGGCGTGCAGTTGTGACGCTCCTAGGCTCCTTCAGCTTCATAAAGGGACAAAAATAGCTTTCAACTGATTGCAATGTATTCCCATCTGCGGCGGGATTTGACGCTCATGGAACCACGGCATTCGTTTGTGTCGGCTGCCCTTAAAGGCAATGTGAGCGTCCATTCCCATTGGATAACGGAGAATTGTACACCCGGAAGTAAGTATTCCCCTTACTGTCGATTAATTTTACAGTGATATCTGCACTACTCATCGACTAAAAAACACCAGATTATCCTTGTTAATTACACAACATTGATTGGTTTAAATTGTGTGCAATGCTTTTGTATTTTTCCCCTTCGATTCGGAGAAATAAATGTTTTTTCGGAGTAAAGGATGGCAGAAGACACTACACTACCCAGAATCCCCAGCTATCGTTTGGACTACACCATGTGCTCTGTTTGACAAACCCCGTTTTTTTCACCATTCATTCCAATGGCTGGCGTCTATGGCTGCTTCTCAGGTCGACTATTTTCATTTCCTCGCTCCTCGGTCTCACCGGAAGTTGATTTGCCAGCGCCATCTTGAGTACCGTCCCATGGCTCTTATTTTTGCCGGAGGACCGAGGATCGAGGAGCGAGGAGCGATCATGGAGGAGCGATAACCGAGGAACCACCAGACCATCCTCCGATGAAATCCTCAGATACTCACCCCGCCCCCTTACTGTGTATCGCTCACTGATTGGACGAGGCAGTGCATGCACTGATCTGATGCTTCTTGACATGAGAGCAGAGTGAAGAAAATACATGAACCTCACGGGAGTCACTCCTCAGTTTATACCGTGTTTTGTTTCAATTCATGTATCATTTAGTTACAAATATGTGATATATCTGAACAACAAAGTGGTCAAAAATCATTTAATTCATTTTTTGGAAACATTTTCATGATCGCTTTTTTCGTTTTACATTTTCATTTATTGTCATTTCCATTCAGTCAGTCATTAAGTGCTATTAAAATGTTAATGTGCTACATATCCAAACAAACAAACAAAGTGTGCAATCCAATGAATGTTAATCTAACTGGGTTTTGATAGATAACATATCGCTTTTTCTTCTCTCAATTATTTTATTTCTATTGTGCACTCTAATCAATATTAATCAAACTATTGTTCGTTTATACATTTTAAGAATGGCGTTTATCTTTTTTGACAATGAGTTCTTATTTTATTTTATTTATTTGGGTCTACAACAGATGATACAAATGTTTGTGTCAGTAAATGTGTGCTAACAGAGGAGGGGGTGTTTGTGGAAATAACGGGTACAGAGCTGGCTGCTGTCAGACGATCAGCTGTGCAGCGTCATCACAAACGGACGTCGCTTCACGTGACGCTCCGGAGGAAAGGACGTCCCATTGCTCTTAAAACTCATTTCCCTGCTTCTCGTGGTTTCCTTGCGTCCCTCCATGCTTCCCTGGTGGGAGGGACTAAACGCAGGGAAACGACGCAAGTGAGGGAAGCAAGGATTTCATTTAATCGACCTGAGAAGCAGCCTATGTCACGTGATCTTCAAATTTCTCCCTGCAGAAAAAAAAACATGGCCGAACTTCGTTTTATTCTCGGTGGAAAATGCCTATTTTAAAGTTAGTTTGGCCATTAAAATGCGTTTTGATGTCATTTGATGCGAGAAATATGAGTTTTTATTTCAGATTATGTGTGCAGTGGATGCACATGATCTTTAGTTTGCTCGTTATTACGAAGATTACTTCAGGAAATTGCGTCCATAGAACGTTTTCATTGTTACCAAGGTGGTTGCTAGGGACGCTGCTATCGATATTATTTCTGTTATGTTGTGTAACTGTTTAATGGTGTTATCTTTATTGCTACCCCCTTCCCCGTCAATGTATAGTGTTGGTCCACAGCACAAACGTATTAGTGTAACAAAATCCGCATCTAAAGATACGTTATTTTCCCCTGTGCAATTCCAGTCTCACATCTCACAGCACATCGTCATTAACAAATAGGCCTACCGGAAACAGACCGAAAACATTTAAAAAAAAAATGTAATACTTTATTCCGAGTGTGCTTGCTTTTCTCTTTGAAAGTCATCACATAACGGCATTGTAATACACGGTTCGGCTGCATTAAATATTACATATCTGCCGTAGTTCTCTATTTATAGAGCCCTGCTGAGAAGACTTCTAAACAAACATGAGGAAATGAAAACGTGACGTAGATCATAAATATATCAGCCATTAAACAATATCTTACATTTATTTTCACACAATACGTCTCCTTGCAGTATCAACACTAATTCGGCTGACTTTTATATTTGATCCAATTGGTAGATAGGCTGTATTTACACCATAAAGGTGCACAGCTGATAGAAAGGGACACCTGGTGGTTAAAGCACGTTATTGAATTGTATTATTTTATTATTAGATATTAATAGGAGGATGTGCAAAACAGACGAACTAATAAGGCTTAATTTAAACATTAAAGAGTACTTTAGGTTAAGGTCTTATTTTGAATAAGAAAAAAGCTTTAAGAAGAATATGGAGGGATGAAACCCTCTTGAAACCGCAGGTCCTTCCTTCCTGCAGTGGTCAGACTTTACAACCAGCACTGCCCCTTGTAGACCCTCCTACACACACCACAACACAGACTATAACACCCCTTGCTGCTAAATACAAACCAACTTTGTGCAATATGTGCAATATATATATGCCATTAATAACTGTGTAATTTATACCTGGCCACTAAATCAATATATATGCCGTTTTGTTTTTGATCTGTATTTTTGAAA